TGCCCCCCGCGCCGGCGCCCTCTCGGTGGCCCGCCGCGGCTCCCCCCTCCGCCGGGCGCACGGCCTGCTTCAGGCACTGAGCATCTTCCCCCGGTGCCCAGCCCCTGAAATACTCCAGCCGCCGAGCCTCCCGCCGCGACTCATGCGCAGACGAGCGGCTGCGAGGCACCGGCTCAGCCAGGGATCGCGGAGTCGGTCTGATCCGCTCGCGGACCGCAGGAGACGGCGACGGGCGGACCAACTTTCCACTAATGCGTAGCTCGGGAAGGATCAGAACCTGGCGACGAGCTGCTAGTAGTTTAATACCTGCGCTGCGCTCAGGCACACCCTGCGCGCGCCGTCTGCGCCCGGCGTTCCCGGAACCTGTCGAAAAGCCCCTTGGAAGGCTTCCATCCCCTCCATCTGAGGGATCACCTGTCGTTTTCCCCCCTTTTATTTCATAGTGCCTAGCGGAGCTGTGGTTGCCCTCTGGGTATTCACACCATCCCCATCGGCCAGCTATGAGGGGTGTTTCTCGGTTAGAGACTTCCCTTTGGCCGCTTGGACTCACACTTTTAAAGCCCCAGCTGGCTGAACAAGTGCCCACATTAGGGTGGTGCTGGCACATTCTGTGGAAAACTAAAGTGTCTCTCTTGCCATTTTCCATTTACACTGTTAACGCAACCTTTCGATGGTAAGAAAGGTTCTTTCAGTCATTGCACTGTGGCAAAAACTGAAAAGACAGACATGAAAGAGGCCAGAAATTCTCCCTCTGCACCTGTCAGGAAAGTGGATCACATGGCTAATTCCCAAAGATGCCATAAATCTTTGTCTTAGATTTAAAATATATATAAGGAAAAAAGAGGGAGTAAGTTACAGTGCACCAAAACACTGGTAAAGAAAAAAGCTGCCATGTCTAATCACTGTCACATTTTACAGTTGATCACCAGAATTGACATGAAGAAAAAGGAGAAGAAAAGGTAGCTTTCCCACTATCCAAAATTACTATTAATATCCTAAGGAAATGTTGTATTGTATATGTTGTCCCTACAATGTAGCCTTGTCACGCAAGTGTGACCACTGTGTGAATAACTGCACGTAAAACTGCTCAAAAGAGCCTGAAGGCAATGTTGGGTTTTTTTTTTTCCAATGGCAGTTACAAGTTTTGGATCAGGCCCTAATTGAAAAGCTTGCTATGGTAAGTTATACGTTTTAAGGAAAGAGCAAAGCAACAAGACATGAGATGTGTTATTTGGAAGAGAACCAGTATTGTATTATTCCTCAGGATGGAAAGAAAATGAATGTTTTCTTTGATCAGAAAGCTGTCATTTCCAAAGTTAAAAAAGAGCAGATACTTTTGACAGTGCTTATGCTTGACAAACAAAAATCCAATATATATCTGTGTAAGCATTTGAGAAAAAAAATCTATAAAAGCATGACAATACCAGTTCCCTCAGAGTTCAGTTGTGTTTCTATCATCAGGGAACCAACACTGCAGAGCCAAACACTGCACAGAGGGTTGGGAAAAACTGAATCATCGTGGGAGAAGCTGGCTGTGTCCATGCAGAGCAGAGGTTCTGCAATTACTCCCTCTCTCACAGCAGCAATTCTTAAGGTTCCTACTAGTCAGAACCCATCTATGACCTACCTTTCATTTAATAGTACCACAAGGTTATGGAGCTTTTACGTTAGCCATCTGGGATTAGAGGCTGTCTGTGTAGTGATGTCAGGTGGGTAGATGTTATTTTATATCATCACAGAGACAACCTAGATGTGCTGTTCTCTTACTGTGATAGCTACTTGAGAAGCTATTTCCTGTTGGATCCAGACAGAAGGCAACTTCTGTCTCTTTCTTTCTCTCTGTTCTACTCATACACACATAATTTCTCTCATACAGCCTTTTCAAATGAAGAATGAATTGTTTCTGAAAACTAATGGGGAAAGAACACATCAAAATCAGACAAGAAAAAAAAAAAAGGTGGCAAGTAGCCAAAAGCCAGGCAAAAAAAATGATTCTGCTTTTTCACATGTACAGTGAGTTGTATGGTCCCCTGCAACAACATCCTGGGCTCAAAGAGCCCAGTAGGGATGATATTGTTAGATTTCCCCCTTTGTTTTCAGTGGACCTTTGTCAATGTGACAAGTTAAATATATGCATAACTTCCTGTGGGATGTGGGTCCTCTGCTGACCCTTTACCATTTACAGGCAGCAACCCACAATACTTCACACCAGCCACCTTTCAGTCTGATGTTGAAATGCCCATTTACAGCTTACGAGGCTGAAAACAGTCACCTGCGTGAGACCAGAAGTCTTGAACTTGCCACTGGGGGTTTGCAAAAGTAGACGTCTACCACCTTAGCCCCTGAAAATACATATACTCATGCCACCTTTTTGCATGTAAGCAGACATACGTAAATCACTGCAAATGCTCACAACAGTCATACTAAACACACATATTTTCCTAATCAAGGTCTTACAGTATTTACTTTCGTAATCAAGGATGTTGTCTTGATTGAAACTGGGGACTGTGGAGACTGCTGCAATACAAATAAGAAGAGGGGAAAAAAAGAGGTGCTTGTCATTAATTATCCTTTAATAGACATAGACTATTCAACACAGATTAGGAAAGTACTTGAGACTTTTATTCTAATAGCTGCATCATTCATTAAATCTACACATTCATCTGTTCTAAATATTGACCACAACTTATTGGATTTAATGGTTAATGGACTGTATTCATTGGAAAGGAATAGGGGATGATCAAATTGCCTTTTAGTTTCACTCCAGGAGAGACGTGTCATGCAAACTTTGATGTAGATCACAACCGAGCATAATTCAGCCCTAATCAATGTATTCTGCAATGGCTAGGAACGCATTTAATTTGGTTCTAAATTTAAGGAAGCACCATGAAAGAAGATCTCAAACAAGTTATAACAAACAATAAATCAACAGAGAAAAGCAACCCTTTCCCCCAGATTCTCTTACGATAGGTGAAGAGAGGGAAATTAAATTATATTAACCAATATGGGGACAAATGGAATGACTCACGGATCTGATGTTAAGAACAAAGCTTTTCACTTCTAGGCCACTTGCTAATAAGTGACCCATTTCAAAAGTGAGCAAGAATGGTTAATACCCATGGAAATATCTTCTCACCACCACAATGGCAGCAGGTGTGTTATTGTTATTGTTATAGTTTTAGTTAATGAAGCTTTAGTGAAGCTAGAGTCCTTCAGTCCATCAAGACTCAGCAGCATCTTGATTTTTTTTTTATTCCCTCTTTCTTTTCAGAGTCCTACTTTATTATCATTTGAACTATAGGGTCTCTGAGCAAGCAGGGCATCCTTACCTGCTAGACTAATACAGTTTTTATTCCTTCTGGAACAGTAAGACAAATAAGCAAGCAGATAGTAGTAATGTAATAACTGACATGCTGTTAGTCTCTTCAGCAAAGATGCGAGGCCTGACTCATCAGTCTAATACAATTCCGCAAGACTGTTCCTGTGGCAGAATTCCAGTGGGCACATTTACCACCTGTGGAATAGCTTTATCATAAAGGTCTTCCTAAAATGGAATAAAGCCAAACTGAAAGGTCTATACATTCCTCCTGTAGATCTCTACTTTGCAGGGAAAAAGTTGGAGCAGTAAAAGCATGTGTATTTATCATGACTACCTATGAAGGCAGAAAAGCAAAAGAAATATGAAGCTTGATCATGCAACAGTTCTGCAGACTGAAATTACTTAAAAATTGCTTA